CGAATCCGCGAGTGTCAGTACCGTACCAGACTAGTGCTTCTGTTACCTATTAGCACATTCTAATCTAAGACGTCTAATCGTCCATTCCAGATCACATTATGCTGATAATCCGAAGAAAGGCCGCCCTAGTGCTACCAGTGTGGACTTGGAGATGGGCGAAAGAAAGAAGGATAAGGAGCGGAACAGCGATGTTGAGGATGACCGCGTATTTGGCAGTGAGCTTTTTCAGCTAAAATCTTTACGCGAGTAGTTTCTAGCACCGTGGGATCCCCGAAGATCTCGTGGAGGATACCGCAAGACTCCCTGCCTCTTCGGCATCTCCTTTGTATCTTTTTTTATGTTTGATAAGCACAGATTTAGGATGATCCCGCCGTTGGAGAAATTTTACAGGCTCGTCGCCAACCCTTCCCCCCCACCCCTTCTTCATCATACCATCCTTCTGAATTTTCCCAAATTCTTGACACCCCAGTTTTTCAAAGTTTTCTTCAGCTTTCTCCAAAAAAACTGCTGTCGAACAGGGGTGGGGGAGAGAGGGAGGAGAAGCGAGAGCAATAGCGTTCTTTCTCGGGAAAAACGACGTCAAACTTCTTTCTCGAAGATAAATACACGATTTCCCCCCCCCCCTTCCCCCTTCTTCCAGCGACCGAACACGACCCTCCTCCTCGCTACCCGCTTCCAACGCGATTCCGGTCCTGGGCTCAGCGGCAAGTCGCCTGAACTTTGCACCGGGGATACCATGGCACGTCATGTCTTGAGAGAATTTTCGTAAAATTGGAACCTTCTCAAAACATTCTCTCTTGTTACTACCCCTCTCCCTTCTCCATGCCCCACCTTACCTGCTGTCCTTTCAAATTTATTTTCGGAGTTTTTTCAAAGATCCTTCATTTTTTTCCGCAAACGCTGCGTTGTTAGCGAGAAGGAGGGTCGGAGAGCAGGAATTTTTAGGGACCTGGAAGCAGGGACGCGAAAGCGTTCAGCGACCGTGGATAACTTTTCCGCCAAAGGAAAATACAGCCCCTTCTCCTTCCCTCCCAGTGATCAATACGGACCCCTTCCCTATGGAATCCCCACGTGCCTTGGGCAGCGCACTTTTGACATATTCTAATAACTCTATAATATGTTCAGCATCGTCGGAGACGCGTTTGGATGCCATGGAACAAGAAGAAAACGACGATAGTTCGATGCCGGTGAGAATAGCCCAGTGAGTATATTCGTTATTTTTGTTGTATTTATCTCTCGACGCTATTTTTTTTTTTTTTTTTTTTGACTTTACTACCCTCACTCCAACAAACATTCAATTACTCATTTTTTTGCGAGGGCATCTTTACCTTGGAGGTTGCAAAGCTTCAAGCAGGAGAAGATGCAGTCCTGGTTCCGTATCTTGGGGTGAAGGGGTGTGAATAAGATGGGTATGTGGCAAGAGAATCGTAATCCGCAGCGCAAATAGGTGCGGCAGATTTACGATTCTCTGCTCGTCTCAAGAATTGAGGTACAGGGGGGTAGGAATGCGGGAAGAATGAGTATAAGAGTAACGTGGGATAAGTTGACGGAGCTTTAGCCCGTCCTAGGTCCAGATTACGAATAGGATGTCTCCTTGGGCGAAATTAAGTCGGCTCTTAGCGCTCCGAGGGCCATAAGTTGAGACCATTTCGTCGGGGAGGGTCAGAGCACTACTTTTTACCTGCGGTAGCACTCACAAATCATTTGTATTAGTTTTATCGCAATCAATAAGTCACTACGATTCTGAGCAGAAGTAGAGTGCCTGCCGCATCCCAAAAAGGGTTAATCAGCAGTGAAAGCTTTATTCTTTACATGCTTCATGTTTCTCAATTACAAGTAGTCTCAAAAGCAAATGATGGATGTTTTCCAAATTAGTGACGGTTCATCCGTAGTTATTTTCATTATCCTAAATTATCAACTGCTTCATCATTACTCTGCTTTCTGCCGGTAATTAAATTTAGAGACATGTCGAAAAATTCTGGAGCGAAAAAAATTGATGCTGTTCTTAACAACATTCAAACTTGCGTACGTCATTGTAGCCAGGGAACGCTATATTTGTGATGACACAACGGGAGGGGGGGGGGTCGTACTTGACCGCGAGGGAAGGGGGACCTATTTGGTCTGAGGAAAATTTTTTTAATAGTTGATTTTTATTGTTCACGCACACTATAAAGGGGAGTCGTATTGTCGTTGTTGGGAGAAGGACTGCCAAAGACCTGTACAACTACTATTTACGATAATTTGAAAACTGATAGTTATCTGATGTAACTCCCTACCCCCGCCCCTCGCTCCCCGTTCCAGCCACTCGACATCGCAAAAATTTTGGGGACACAACGAAACTTATGCGGGAAATGCTCGTAAGAAACTGGCAGGAGGTTAGCGAAAACCTGAGAAATTATTCTCTTTCACGTTGGGTACAGCCCCTCCTCGCTTGACGAAAAATTCTTGGCTGAAAAGGTCCCTACAGTTTATTTAATGCGAAAAAATGGAAAAACGGTCAGAGAAGTTGGGGAACAAAAAGGAACAGGAAGTAAAGGAGATTTTCTAGGCAAAAAGGTGGGTAGCATTGGGAGAGTATGGAATTCACCGAGACAGGGTCGTATTCATCAGGGAGCAATCAGCAAAGCGAGTGGCATGCCGTGATTGTAGCACTCAAATAAGGGCATTACCCTCCGGAAATACGTCTTGTTTGCCTGTATTTCACCGATTGTTGAAGAGAGCAGGCAAAAGAGCAGCTGCTGGAGAACGGGTTGGCTCTGCGGATATTGCGGTGTTTCAGGTAAAGGGTTGGCGCTGCGCCAAGCTCTAACCCTGAAATACCCCGCCCCCCGTCCGCAGCAATCAAGCCCGTACGTTATCGTCACGGGCCTTTCCGGATCATACGTTGTACAAACTTTTTCAGTATATGTGATTTGACCAAACAGTAAGCTAACGATGCATACGAAGCTATCGGAAAATCAAGTATTTTTGTCAGCCCAGGAGACGATTTCAGGTGAGCCTACTTTCTTTTTTCTTTTTAAGGAATTCGCATTTCTGAATTATCGCGATAGGATGGTCCCGTATCTTTTATCAACGACCGGAGCTGATATCTCCCCCCCCCCCGCCAGTCTGTTGAGAGACTTCTATGGAAGGCTCACGTGGCGAATCCTACACGTGATTTTGCAAAAAAATTCGAGGAGAGTTATACTCGAAATCCCTAGATGCGGTAGGCGTGGCTGCGTACTTCAACTAAACGTGGCGGTGGCTGTGCTTTTGGTGAGATATTTTCATTTTGAAACAATTGCGGTCATGTCTCTGTCCACCATAGAACAGAGATGGCTGTATATCTCCGAGGTAATCATTAGGTTGTCCGGAAAGTTCTTAGCGTTTTGGGTGTTTAACTTTAAACGATCATAACTTTCTTAACACTCATCGGATTTAATCCAAATAAGCACCATTCGAATCAGCACACTTTTGCCAATGTGATGCAGTCGAGAATCCCATCAAAGAAAAAACTGGGTGGTCGAGAATCCACGAAATCTGCGAAGGTCTTTTTTGCCTGGTCTTAATTGATGAAGTATTTTTCAGCAAGGAAGTTCTGAAAATGTCTGAAAAGGTGACAGTCGGTTGGTGAAAGGTCTAGAGAATATGGTGGGTGAGGTAGAACTTCAACTCCCAATTCGTTCAATTTATGGATAGTGATTTGTGAAACGTGTGGGCGGGCGTTGTCATGCAAAGGAATCGGACCCTTTCTTTTGATAAGTGTTGGCTGCAGCTGACAATATTTTCGGTACATTTGGTCGGTTTGTTCACAGTAGGGTTCTGCTGTGATGGTTTGGCCTGGTGATGAAAAGTTATAGTGGATTACAACAGCCGATGACCACCAAACCTGACCAGAATTTTTTTCGCGAGGGTTCGGCTTTGAAAATTACCTCGGTGGTTCCTCCAAATCCAACCACTGTCCGGAACGTCTCCTGTTATCATACATGATCCATTTTTCATCACAGGTGACAAATCCGTTCAAAAACGGGTCAATTCTTTTGCGCAAAAGCAGTGAAGAAGGAACCTCGAGACGTGCCGATTCCTGCCGGTCACTCCGATTGTGGGGCACCCAATTGTCGAGTTTTTTTCACCTTCCCAATGCGTTCCACCATCTGCAACAGTGGATTTGCCAAGGCCTAGCTCTTCTGCTATCTCTCGAACTGTTTGGGATGGGTCAACCTTCAAAATCCCCCTAAAATCCTCGTCAGATATTGCTTTAGGTCGACCGCTATGAGGCTCACCTTCAAGGCTGAAATTTCCAGAACGACATTTGTTGAGCCATTGCGGCACAGTGCTTTCTCTAGCACTATTGGGCCTCCACACCTGGTTAATTTGTTGAGCTGTTTCGATTGCGGATTGCCCCAATTTATAGCCGAAGAAAAAAATCGTCCGAAGTGCTCTTTTCACATGTTTGAAAAAATCTTGAAAAAAGGGAGTTCAATAAGCAATGGTGAAACGGCAATTATACCATCAGATAGCGCAAGAAATTCTCTACAGGATGTGCTACTGAGAAGCAAGGCAGAATGAGTTTTTAATCAGCAGTGAATGTACAAAATTAGGTGCACAAAAACGCTAAGAACTTTCCGGACAACCTAATATCTGCCAGCGAGTAACGCAATCTCTATGGCCATGTCCGCAATGCACCTAGCCGACTCAGGATAGGAAAGTATATTTCGTTCTCCTACATTCTTGTTCGCTGCGGATGGCGGCAGGGGGGTGGGGTTCAGGAGAAACGAGTTCGGCGCGTCGCCAGCATGTCTCTCTTTTTTTTTTCATCGGAAAGCGACAAGATATATCACATCGTTTGCATCAGTCGTTTCAGCCGATTCTGTTATCTATCAGAACGGGCTGGACAGAGCGAAAGCACAACGTCGCATTGCAGCGCCCATCTGCAGGAAATAATTCACTTATTCCAGCAAGCACGGAAACCGTACGATGTGCGAGACGTTATTGAGCAGTACTCACAAGGACATCTTAATATGATGGTACGAATCAAGGAACTTCAACGACGGTGAGTCCTTTCGAGAACACCGTGCGCCTTATGTGCCTTGGGAGGAGCTACCCACATCACGTCTGCATCCCTCACCGAGACTATGTGAGATATTTTGCCATGGGTTGCTCAAGTTGGAAACCGTGTCTCCTTCCTTAACAGACGACCGTAAGTGGCTTCTTCACCGACCATGAAAATGAAACTGAGGGGAACTACCTTCGCGAAAGACCTCAAAGCTCGACTTCTGCCCATGACTCAGCGTTCTTGTGGTAGCTTTCGAAGCGCAAAGTGCGGCGTAAAACAGCAATTATCATAATATAAAATTTTGCAAGAGAGTTGCACCTCCCGAAGCACATAGCGCCAACACATTGCGCGCTGATTGTGCGGGCGGAGTCATTTTCAAATTCTCATTTGGTACGCCCTTACCTCTTGCCGTTGTTGAGGGGAGACGGGCAAATTGGAATTGGAGCATCGGATTCCATGTGGACAAGGACGTGGTGGACATTTACCTCTGTTTTCGGTCATATGCTTTGTTAGCGGCGCGTCGCACGCGACACCCCCATTGGCGCGGCGAATCGATTCTCTTGCCGCATTCCTGTTGCTGAGCGGTTCTACGACATGGGCGCGATGCAGTGGCGCGAGATAAGCTGCCTTCCTAATCATCAGGATAAAAGTATATCTTAAAGCTGCTAAAAGGTTTTTTTTAAAGTTAGCTCCATGATGTAGTTTTCAGGTTGGATCAAACGTTGGGGAAGCCAGGACAAGACCGAGCATCGAAGACGACCTGGGGTGGTGCGACGACGATCGGAGCACGACTGTCCAGAATTGAGCTTCAGGTGCGGCACTTTAGCGTATTTCAGACCGGTCCATAAGTCAACAGTCAAAGTAAATTCAAGGGCACAGTCGGCTCTAGTAACTTGGGGGCAGGGGCATTTCTGAGGGGCATTGCGCAAGCAGGTGGGATACCGTGTCATTCAAGTGAAGTGACGTCCTGTAATGCGGTCCACTACTCCAAACCCTCCGCTTCGCTTTTTGGATCTAAGCAGAAAGTCCGGCAGCTCCGTCTGATATCTAATTGTACGCTCCGCTTCTCCTCCTGCCCTATTAGCGCCGCCACAGTCGGCATGCGTATGGCACACAGGTGAACGGCGCGCTGCGTTGGGGGGGGGGGGAGGGGGTTGCTGAACCTGATTCTCTCCCGGCATTCCTTCAAGCGTGGAGACGTGGGGGGGTGAGTAAGGCTTTAGTCATACTCAAGCAGCAGAATCCCCAACTAAGACCAACAAACGGATGGCGCTATAGCGTTCCTGAAACGCTCCGAGAATGCGTCCATGATGCTGGTGGGGAGCGGGGGAACAAGCGAATCCTGATGTCCTGGTCCAAACGGCTGCTGGGAAGAGGAATCGCAAATAGGTCACTATTCCTTTGGCTGTGCCTTCAGTAACCTAGACGCGCTTGGACACAGTGAGCGGAGTCACTCCTAAATCATCGGCGTATTACAGTTTCTGCTAACGCGAAATTAGCATTATTACTGGACCCACTAGTGCGCTCAGATGAGTTATGATTTTGTCGTCTCAAGGTAATGGCTACGAGGGCTCGGTAAGGTGTGTGTCATCAATGCTATTGGTGAAGGAGGGCGGAGAAGTGTGGCCAAATGCCCTCTTGCAAACTTTCCTCTGATGACATTGGAGCAACCACCCGCTGCAGGCCCTGCTTTTCAACCTTTTTCCTCTGGCTCTAGATCGATAGAAACAAGCTACCGCTACTAAGGTACGTCTTTAAGCTGACTATGTCTAGAGCGTCAAATGACAGCCGACCCTAAGCCTCTTGACGCTTTATGTCGGCAGCAGGCTTCGAGTCGACGAGTCTGTGGCGAAACGCCTCCAATACGAGCGTTTCACTGCACATGATCGCGCCTTGCGTCGGCACTGCTGCTGACTCGGCGTACTCGCCACGCTCCTTCCATGAAACGGCACAGCTCATCTTCACCAGACCATCAACGGGTAGACGAAATCGCTTCTAATCATTCCCATTCATAATCATCGAATATCGTCTTACAGTGCCTGAGAATTAATGACCAATTACCGTTTTTGTAAATAAGTTGGTTATGTGTAATTACAGTTTAACATCTGTGAATTCAGTAATAACTCGCGGACGTAGTATTGACTCTGTGATCTCTTGTTGAGTTTGCTTGTCTCGTTTTAAATGACTCGATAAATTGCAATTGCTATTCGATTTTTTTGCATCTTAAAGTCTGCGTAAGTAAGGTAGCGCCTTTTCCTAACTGCGACAAAAGGCTGATCTTTCGGGTATTTCCAGAGCGTAGGGAGTCCTAATTCCATGATTATGAAAATTTTCAAAGCAGGTCGGGCTAGCGGCAGCGTTTGGGTGGTTCCCAACCCCGATGCTCCGTTTGAAACTCTATGACTTTGTGAAGCTATGCTAACCAGGGAGAGGGACCTTGCCCACCGATCAATGGAGGAGGTTTGGGGAAGGAGGAATCTCTTAAAAACAGCTCTCGCGATAAAAGTGCCATGGATAAATGCCTTTCAATTACGAAACAGTAGCTGATAAGTAATTCTCCAGAGAAAAAGCAAGGAGAGTTCTCAAGGCACCATAAACAAGATGCTCCCTTGTCAGTCCAGCATACCTCGTCATCCGGGCAGTTGATTAGGGCGGTCGTCAACGGGCCGCAGCGCGTGCCAGGAACTATTTGCTTTTTCCAGGCTAATTTAGTCATTTTTTCCAACTTTTCACTGTTTTGGCTACTTTTTCCCAGATTAGCAGCTCCTTATCTTCACAAGGTGGAAAAAATGACTAAATTAGCCTGGAAAAGCAAATAGTTCCTGGGCACGCGCTGCGGCCCGTTGACGACCGCCCTAATCAACTGCCCGGATGACGAGGTTACTCTGCGGCTTATGTGCAACCCCTTGCTCAATATCTTTTTCGCATCTCCCAGTAATGGATATCATCCAATGCAAAAAAAGAATACGGAAAACAACAAAAACACGGAAGAAAAACTCTTGAAAAGGAAAATAAACTTTTAAAAACTCGGCATCCGAATTAAGGGTTACGGTAGCGTGCATCTTTTAGTGTGTTTAGTGCGTCGAGCTTTTGCACCACGAAAATTGGGTCGCTCGTGATTTTTACGCGTTTTACCTTGCGAGATGGGATGAAGTTGACTGTATGTGCTGCTAATGAATAAAATGTAATAAAGGAAAGCAGAATTATTTATGGGCACGAGCGTGGTCAGCGAAAAGGACATGAATGCCGATTAATGAGCCGGCCTCCGTCGTCGGGCATCTAGCAAGTGAGGCGGTCCAACTGAGCGGGCGTTAGAACTAGAACTTTGAGGGCTGTAGCTTGCTCCTCGCTCGTTGTGGAGTCGCGAGAGTGGGACAGTTTCTAGCTTGGGGGCTGTACTACTTGCACAAGGAAGGATGACCATGTACTACTTGAGCGGGGCTGTCTTCAATTCACAGTTCGTTTCCCAACGGCAGGACCTTCCCTGGATGCAATGATGCGAGCTCCGTTTACACTTGTTGAGGGTCTACAGGTCTTACCAAGGAGGTGGAGCGTGTGAGCTAACAGGAACTAGAAAAAACCAACGAACCAGAAGAAAACCTCCCTCCCTACGATGTTCAGTACCTGTCAGTTATGGTTCAACAGCAATGCTCACTATTGGAGCATCTTCTGCAAGTGATGGTGTGCCAGAAGATTCGAGCAGCAGAAGCGTGCAAACACGGTTTTGCAAGTGGGTTGGCGTGACCGACACATGCGGTATGAGCTGCGGCGAAGACTAACCATCACAATATCTCGAGCGGCCACCTAGTTTCTGCACAGTGCTAGGGCCTCCTGGCACATCCTTCGTTACCGTGTCAGTGAACACAAAAGCACTGGTCAAGCGTGGAAGTTGACAAATCCTCCCAGAACTCCATTTTATTGTAGAATTTTCTAGTGTTGCAAGTAATGCCGCTTGCACTGGCACTGAAACCCGCGGAACGAAGGCAGCGCTACATAAAGCAAAGTCAATTAAGTAGGAAATGTCAGACGTGGTGACCTACTTTTCGCGTATCGCCGCATTTCGGACGGCCTGACCCCGCACCCTTCGCTAGTGGACTGGACTCTAACCTTCCGTAATGGTCTCAGGCTTATCGTAATAATGACGATGGTAATGGTCAGTTCATGCTTTGCATTTATGCGTTATGTAATTCAACCATTGCATTATGCAATCTAACCAATTTAAGGTACGGTATTGGTAGTGCGGTGCGGCTGCACACCAGCACGCTTATCGAACTGATTGCTACTCTTCTACTCTCCCATAGTCTCTACTCTCCGCAGCTGCCAACGTTAGTGAAAAGTTGGCGAAACGCTGGAAACGCTAGTGGAACGCTAACAAACGCTAGATTGCTACCTTCACCTTCTTTGCCCTCGCTACGCTAGTGTCGTTAGTGCACGCTGGTGACGCTAGGTCGATATCTGTCCTTTCCTTGTCGCTGCCGCAGGCGAACGCTTTAAACAAACTACACTGGTGTGCAAAACTTAGGGACGAAAGCAACTTTCGATCACTGTGCCTCTGCCAGACAACATAGCTCGATGAAATTCATATCATATCAAGAGAGAACCTTAACGATATTGTACAGAAAGCAACTGACAGAAACTCGGAATAAGACGAATTGTTATGACATTTTTATTCAACCATGTCGATTACACATAAGTCTTCACGATTTATCCTGGTACTACAAAAGAAGTTACACGGATCCTAATAGGGTGTGTGATCACCACGGACAGCAATAC